CTATTGACGATGTCTGACATTGCAAAAGTTCAACTGCGAGCTAAACTGGTGGTACTTAGCTGTTGTCATAGTGCACGTGGACAGATTAGAGCCGAAGGAGTCATTGGAATCGCTCGAGCGTTCTTAGGATCCGGTGCACGGTCCGTTTTGGTGGCTCTATGGGCCATAAGTGACGAAGCAACGGAGCAACTGATGTGTCGTTTTTACGAGCATCTTGTTCGTGGGGACAGTGCCAGTGAATCTCTTTACCAGGCCATGAAATGGATGAGAGGTAACGGCTTTGACAGGGTTTGCGACTGGGCACCATTTATGCTGATTGGAGATAACGTATCATTTGACTTTGGAAAATAAAGTAAGTTTTATTAGATAAGAAAATATTGGAATTTCCTAGCTTGGGTAATAATCTTTAACTCAACTGGTTTCACTTCATTTCAACGGGTGTCCAACTTTTGTTTTTGACTAAGAACTCTTCACCCTTGCCATTGAAGCCGATAGAAACCGAGAATGTGCAATTTAAATGTTCTTGCATAACCCAGTGGATGTTTTACTAAACAAATATTGTTACTTAAAGTAATTTATTGGCCGCTTCGTTTAATATACCATGTATAATTACAAAAATACAGGAGGCGCGCTCTGATTGCCTGTGTGGCCAATCATATTACATTTTTTTTTCGGTAGCCAGACACTTGGGTATGCTAACATCGAAGAGATTTCATATATCAGGCTGATATAAAGAATTGATCTTTAACTTAAATTACGAATAAATTAAATTTCACGCAACCGATGGAAAGATCACACCTTGGTTATATTGAGAGTACCTTTTACCTTTTTTTTTTTTTTATGGGGGAAATCAATTTGAATTTTATTCGGTGACCATATGTATTACAGAGAGATATTGATTCTTTATATTTCTACTTTTGCAGGCTTGCTTCGCGGTAGCGTTATATTCAGGGTCTGGCATTGAAATTCAAGATGGCGCCCAGTTGTGCCCTGAATACAGAGACAGTTTGAGTGAAAGGGACGATTTTATTTTTATGGGATTACGCAATTTAAGCTTCGTTGTTTTCAGACCGCCTTGTGTATGTGACGGTTATTATTATCATTAAAATCAACTCAAGGTGTATTGACAATGAACATAGAAATCAATAGGTACGTGTTCGTTTTAATTGATCTACTTTAGTACTGTGTGGTTCAGGGCCTACGTATTGAATATCAATCTGTACCTTTTCAAAAGGAAGCTCCATTACAGTGTGTAAAACAATGTGAAATGGATGTTATTAGCACTGAAATTGAAAAACTTCTGTAGAAAGGTGTCATTGTAGCCACAAGGCATGAGAAAATGCAGCCCTGTTCTAGTTGTAAATGAGAGAACAGAACTGTTCCTTTATCAAACAACTTAACCAGCCGGAATCTCACAGAACACTGAATTATTTTCACGAGAAGGAAAAACGCAGTTAAACAGCTCCATGAAATTTTGTAAAAGAAGTAACTGAGTTGTCTCAGAATCAGTGTGATCAGTAGGGAAAGGGGCATCGAAATTGCACCACATCATTACCAACCGCAGAATTATGTTTGGATTAAGTGGAATCATTGTCGGTTAGGCAGTCCCACAAAACAAGCTAAGAAATCATTTTTGCCTGTGTTCAATAGTCTAATTGTGACATTGTGACATGGTCCTGTATCAGGTTAGATTTTTTAGTGTTTTAGTTATGGTTAAGGGTTGTCTAAAGAAAGTAAGAGTCAAAATCTATGAATTCAGCCTCCTGATGATCTCTTTTGCAAAATATTATATTGTAAGATAGCAGTAGTTTTAAATCAGATGTACGCGCAATACTCTTAAGAACGTTATCCAAGCGATACGCTACTACACCAGCATTGGCTTTCTAAAGTTTGGTATCCATCATTTCCTGTTCAAATGCCAACTGAAGATCACTGGTCTCTGTTCGTAATGTTCTTAGGTCTGTCGCCGGCGTCAAAGCAAGACTCTTCCCATTTCTAGTTAATTTTATTTCAAAGTTTGACGCCGCTGGCCTTCTTAAACAGCACAACGCCAAGGCTTTCCTAAACTCGGGTATTCTCAATGCGTACACAACTGGATTCGCAAACGAGTTGGAGAAATTTATTATAACGTTCACCAGGTGATAATATTTCCACGGTATCTGGACATCATAGACATAGATTAAACAGTTGAAAATAACTAAAGGGAGCCACGACAGCGAGACAAGAAAAGATACAAACATCAAGGTCTTCGTTAATCGTTTGTTTAGAGAGTCTCTGTTTGGTTGTTGTGAAGCGATATTTCCGTGCCTAAACTTTCTACAAATGCCGATGTTACAACCACATATGATGAATGTTAGAATCAAGACGTACGGCGTCCAAACATACAAAGCGCGTTTGTAGGAAGTAAGGAAAAATGATGTACTCCAGACGGTGGCGATAAGCAGAGTCAGTGCCCACACAGTAAAAATCATAATACGGTACGCTCGCATTTACAGTGTTCGGTACTTAAACGGCCAATAAATGGCGTAAAAGTTTTCGCCTGATATGAAAGCTGCAGAAATTAACGACGCCTGCGAGGAAAAGATATCAACGATCGTGTAGAAAACTGACAAAGACATCGACCAACCATCGTTCCAAAGTTGAAAACTTCTCCCAACATTGTAAATGTAGATAGGTAGCGACAGGATTCCTAACATCAGGTCAGCAAACGCCATATTAATGACTAGGAACAAACTTCTCTTACGAACGCTCCTGTTAGCTGCAAATAGAACAAGGGTGAGCAAGTTTCCACAACAATAAAAGCAAATGACAAAATAAGAGCGGCGCACAATGCGACGCCTTCTGCCTTGGAAGGAACACTTCTTGATGAAATAGTCGCGTTCTCTGAGCTAGTTTTAGCTGCTGTTGTTGTGAGATTCATTTTTAGCTTTTAAAACGCCAAATAAACTTCGCCGATAAAAGCGTCTGACTGTTACTGGAAAAGAGAAAGTGGAGTTCTGTAATCCGCACTACGTGAGACTGTGGAGTAAGTGGCACATCATGATGAAATTTGTAATTTATTTTTCACTGATCAAGAGACCAATCATCAGGAGCTAATCTTCCACATGACATGTTTTGGTTTTGACATCTGCAACACATGACATGAGCAACTTTATTAATGCAGTGGAATTGTAGAATTAATTTCCTCAAACATCAAACAGGAATTAGACAGTTAAAAGGAACACGTACAGCATCGATCGATATATTAACGATAAGTGTAACTATATGCTGAAGTATTTTGCAATTGGAACAAAAGTTTTGGTTTTGTAAGGAAAGTGATTTTTGCAACTCTGTACTAGTTATTACAGGGACAAGAATGATCCTCCACTGAATTTTTTTAAAAAGCAGCTGGAAGCTCAGTTGAACGCTAAGTTATTTTCATTCGAAGCAGAAACATAATAGGATAGCAACATGAAATTTTGTCAAAGATGCAAATGTTTTGGAAGTAGTGTTGATCAGTTCGAAAAGTGTCATCTAAATAGAGGTTATAACATAACTAAAGCAAAGCGCGCGCTCTGATTGGTTAATTCAGCGTCTACTATTTGCCCATTGATGTACGCTGCTGACGTGTGTGCTAATGTTTACAAAGCAAATATTTTGAGAGACATTGTTTCCAAAGTATTAGCCGACGTCCCTTCTGCCAGAAATGCGAAACTGTCTGCACAGTTGTCTGAAGATGAAACAGAAAGTACATCCTTTGACCTATTTGGGAGCATTTTTCCCGAGCCACCTGCAAAGAGATTCGCAAGTTTAAGCGAAAGCGGACTTGAAGAGCTTGTAAGTGAGCGACACTCAAAAACACGAAAGAAGACACAAACTGGTCTGGATGTGTCAGCATTTACAGGTAAACAAAAAGTTATTAAAGCTTAGTTGGAACTCATTAATAGGCTTTACGATAAAGATGAAACGAAATAAAGATTTAAGACTTTTTAAATATTTAGAAATTGTTCCTAAGTTATGTGTAAACCCAGTTAAATCACAGGCGGCCCAAGCTCAAGATGCGAGGAGTTATTATTTATTTATTTTTTAAATCTTTATGCGAACGTTCAGCGCATGAAACGTGACATATTTACCGCCGACATCTACTATTACATAACCGCCGAGTTTGGTTACACGAAACGTGACCTTCACCTTGCAGCATATGGTGGTGTTGTGTTACAACGGTTTGAATTTATAAAGGTTTGTATGGGGAAAAACGGTAATCGACATTATAGCT